GCCAAATTTTTTTAATTTCATTATTTTTTTATTTTTTTGCAATGGATAAACAAATAGTAACTCCTGTCACCATGGGGGGGTGGGGGGGGGAATGGTTAAGAACCCTCCGTGACATAATCGAGCTTTTTTCCAGTAAACTACGAAAGAGGCAAAAGAAGCTTTGTCTAAAAACAGTTCCATTCGGTTTTAATGATTTGAGAATTGTAGAAAATGTTAGGAAAATGAATAGATCGTGTAAGGCTCAACCACACCATGACCGTCTTTTTTATGTTCACATTTATCAGCCATTTAGCGCAGTATTTTTTTAATTTTCTTATGGTTACACTGGCTTTTTCCCAATGATAGATAGGGCGTCATATATTTTGTTTCAAATACTGCGCTGATCGCCAGTGCGGTATCATCGGCGTAATAGTTTGTCGCAATATTTCGAAATTCTACATCCAAGTCCGAGGTAGGTGGTGCCGTCGTATGTTGTGTACGTTGCCGATGACGCACAGTAGGCAACTTTCACATAGCAGGCGAATATGTAAGAAAAAAAGATTTCTTTATTAGATAACAAATCCCAGAAACTTGCGGTTTTAGCAATCGAAAGAGGACACTTGAGACTATATTTCTATAAGCAAAAATGGTTATTGAAAACATTTTAGAAGCCATTTCTTCAGTGGATCTTTGAAAACTCAGTTTGGATCTTTAAGAACTGGTATAGAACTACTATCCGTTCCAAAATACAAGAGTATCGGTTCCTTTTGAATTACTTTTGATAGATAATAGATAGAGAGATGCGATTTTCAGTTTTAGAGACTAGAGACCTGAGCCAGTGTTTCTTTAAGCGGCAGTGAGTTTCGGAAAAAATTTTCAAGTTAGTTTTTGAAGAGATCTTTGGAAAACCAGATCAGAACTCCTGAAAGTCTCATAGAAATGTAGTCGTTTTTTTACATGCGTATGTAGCTACAAGTGTCCTCTAAAAAACAGGACTCCAGCGAGACTTAGATTTTCTACGGCTCCGGCGTAGTACCGGATTCCTACGAGTCCCAGGACTGACATCTGGTGACTCTTCGTAGCCTGGAAAGCCAATGGACTATAGATGATCGATCATGCTGAGCCTTGTGGCAATATTTGCTTTTAGAAAAAGTTTAAAAGTCTATCGAAATTTGTCATGTTGTTTCTTCAATGCACTGGATTTATGTTTCTACATATAACGAATTAATTACCGAATTTCCGAAATTATTGCCAATGAAAAATGGATTGACTATACTTTGACTGTTCATTTGCTAATTTTTTATTCATGCGAATTAATAGAACGAAATCATGGTATAGCTTTGGGAGAATGATCAGGAGAGGCTCTTGAGAGCTGTAATAAAGGCTTTCGTAAATTTTTGTCAAGGAAATGTGGATATCTAATGAATCTGACAGATGTCTTTTATCGACTTTTTATTTGACTTATTATTGCTTTATTATTTGGCGTTTTGGAAATGTATCGGTAATTAGTTTTCATATCGATGGATCAGAACAAATAAAACCTTAATAAAGGAAAAGAAAAAAGAACGAAAAAAGTGTTTATAAATTTACTACACTAGCATATGATTGTGTAGTTATTTAGATACTAAATTGCTTGTAATTTTTCTCGAAAATTCAACGTCTGCCGTACTCATAAATTTGTAATTGTTTTTTTTTATTATTGTCAATAACCTCAATAACAAGTCGATGAGTTTCACTTATCCAACAAGCTTGACGAATAATTTTTCTATAATCAATCGACATATCCACACGCTGACCTTGTTTAGTATAATCAAATAATGTCAGAGTTTGATAATCTTCATTTAATTTTGTTTCGCCCATTAACCAACGATTGTTTATGTCAAAAAGGAATGAAAATACATTCTGTGATTGTTCATGGATTTGAAAAGTGTGTAGAGTAAAATTCATGAAATGATCACTTAATTTTAAACGACGATTGGTGGATCGAGAATTATTACCAGTACCAATGATATAAGCTAAATAAGATTGATTCACACTCAGTGATTGAATATAATTATCATTTTTAAATAAATTCCATTTGTTAACTAATTTCCAATCAGTTGTTGTTATTGTTCGTCGTTCAATCTCTTGTCTACCGTATATTATAAATAGACGATCATTATAACAATGACACGATCGAGAACGATTATCTATATTTAAAGAGGAAATTGAGTCAATTTTATTTGTTTCGGATGTAGATGGATCAAATGTGAATAACCCGTTTACACTCAATATAAGAAATCGATCAATTGCTGATGAATAACAAAGTGAATATACCGGACCGAATTTGAATGATACTTCAGTCTTGTTTCCTGCGATTTGCTCGATAATATTAATTTTTTTACTCGATGAAGAATACAGAAGAATATATTTGTCGGATGCTGTAAAATATTCAATATCGTCTGCATCAATTGTAGATTTTGGTACTTCTTTCAATATTGATAAATTATCAAATGGTATACTTTCTAATGAGAGTGTTGGTGGTGGCGATGAGACGATTGTTTCTTTTCTTGTGCTAACTGTCTCATCAGTTAGCACTGGAACTGTGACAGCCGATGCTTGCTGTTGATTTCTATCTTCAACTTGTATGCAACTGATCAGATCGATCGGTTGAAATTTTAGATGAATATTTGTTGACGTTGAATAATTAGTTTTCAATTTCTCCAGTTGGTTTGTGTAATTTTCAATATCTTCCTCATAATAATTGTCATTTTCTGCACGTTGACGTAACTCATCACTTAACTGGTTGTATTTGTGCCGAATTTTTACACGATTGCCATCGATTGCTTGTCGAACTTTTTCACGGGCATTCTCAACTGTCGATTGTAGTTCAATTTCCATTTCCAATTTCCATTCGTCGATCTGTTTGAATAGATCATTATTACCATCTTCTTCGGGGGTGATCGAGTAGAAATATTGTTCCAGTAAATTTCTTTCTGCTAGTACACATTGATAAGCAATTGTTAATTCCTGTCGATGTTGAACAAAATGAATGGTACAAAACTTCAATTTACATCCGTCACACTGTGCAATACCACCTTTTTTACATTCACTACTCTTATCGCAATTACATTTGCTGACCATCGGTGATGCCATTTTATTAACAGAAATATATTTTCTTGATCAATAACACAATAATTTCTCTTTTCAATGATGATGTTTTGCTTCTCTATCACAATATTCTATTTTTGTGTAGAAGGGAGAATAATTAAATAATTTTCTCCTTCTCTTTCACACATAAAACATATATTAGTTTTCATGCAGAGAATTGATTATACAGCTGTTCTGTTCTTTTCTATTGTTCTTGTTCTAACAACAACTAGAAGTCAGTGATATGGAAAAAAATATTTTCAGTTCATTTGCGACTAACAGCTGCCGTGTAACTCTATTTACCGAATGTAGGGTGACGACTCGAAGATATTTTTCAATGAAACGTGTTTCTGCCTCATCAAACCGTGCATTTCTAGATGGGCAAATCAGATCTTTTTCTCATAATACGTTTTTTACCGTAGTCAAGAGTTAAAATGTGTACGGTTACCTGCACAACTGGCAGCTAGGAATTTTCTCAGCCTAGGAAGATTCCCTTACTATTAGATGAAACCAAAAAACTCCTGTTGGCTCTTGTACAAAACAGATCCTATATAAATCATGCATTGATCTCCTAAAAAATATGTATTTTGAATCAAATCTGTTTACAGTTATACCATTTTTTAATAAGTTTATTGTTAAATATTATTCAACATAGCTTTTTACTTCAGTTACATTAACCCCAACTGACAATGTAATCATAGGTAACAGCTTTTGTTACGATATTTTGTTGAAAGTCAACGGATATTGTCCATTTGCATACAATAAATATTATAAACAAATTTTCAAAACATTGTAAACATTCAAAGATAAATGCCAAAACGTTGATGTTGTATTTGATGAAGTCTATAAGAAAAGAATTGAATACAGATCAAGCTTATTGTGATGATGATATACAATAAATGCCACTATTATTTCAACGTACTATGATCAATGTACTAAAAAGAATAGAGATGCCGCATACATCAGCTGTAAAAGAAGCTGATCCACTTTGCCTATACCTAGCCAACAAATTAAATGCATTTGTTATTGGATTTGATAGTGATTATTACTGTTATAATATCGATAAAGGATACATACAGTTAAAATACCTGGATTTCACAACATTATCGGGTTAACTTTATTGTCGTACAACATTCCTAAACGTTTATAATGGCTTAACTATGAAATGTTTAGCGTTACTTCCAGTTATTATGGATTCTGTCGGTTATGACATAGATAATCAACATGCATTGAAATTATATTTGACAACAAACGTACGAATAGAGAAAAAGGAAGAGAAAACACATAATGAATGGTTAGCAACAACAATAAACGTTGGTAGAACAGAACCAACTGACAATAAACTGAACAATAAACGCTGGTAGAACAGAACTACGATACAAGAACTACAAAATTCAATTCTCTCTCCTCTCTTCTCTGTTGTTATTGTGTGAAACAATCTCCTTTTATTTGTTCCAAAGTTGAAATTGTTCTCTTCCTTCATTGTTATCTGATAAAAATTTTCTTCTTTCATTCTCTCTCCTCATTTTCCTTTCGTCTATGGATACTGTACATCTAAATTCCACTTTGAACTAGTCCAAAGTAAAACGTAACAAAAAGTATTAGTCAGATGCAACGTTGGACTGAAAACATCAGGCCAATCTAAGATTGGACTAGTCTGAAGCACAATTTAGAATTAATGAGGGCAATGTGAAATTGCCCCAGGCTAATGTCACGTCAGGATGATAATGACAAGGATTTTTAGTTCAAAGATTTCCTTACAATGTTACTTCCAGAAGCAGTAGATTCGAGGGTGCTGCATCTTAGAGGTTTTCGATCATCCTGAATCTATCCCACTATTTTATGCTATTTCACTATTCCGCTATGCGCTATACCATTATACCGCCTATACTGCAGGCGCCTCGTATATCTACGTTGAGTTTGATAGAGAAAATCGGTTTACTGTGAATTTGCCGGAAAATTAAATTCCCCATTAATTCTCAAAACAATCCAAAAACTAATGAATTCATTTCCGAACTGCCCCATAGTTATTCTATTTTCATTACTTACGCCATTCGAAAAACACTACTGTGATAAAAGGACGGTCACCGTGTCGATAGCATTAGTCAGTTCGAACTGGAAAGACCTGTAACCAACCTATGATCCATTTGATCGTCTCATTGGAAAATGAAATGACAATGTGAATGAATTCTACTTGTCTGTGTGCGGCGGGCGCAGAGCGCACATGCAGCACGTTCTCTTTGACAGGGAAATAATTTTCACTGTGGTTGCTCATACATTCATAGTGTTGGTTGATGAAATTCTTGTTGCAGACATCGATCTCTCTCATTCTTGTTCTAGCTCTTCTGTCTTCAGGGTTGTAAAAGAGTGCACATGTCGACACTCTTGTTGTATTTCAGACAAGAGTCTTAACTTTTGCCATTTCAGATCAAACTCTTTTATTTATTTTTTCTCAGGTAAGAAACTTTTGTACAGAAACACAAAGGAGAAATGGAGTCTAATGATTTTGATATGACACTTAAGTTAGAGTAAATAACACATATAAAGTACGTTCGCACTTGATGTAGTGGAATGTTTTTCTTACTCTACTAGCGTAAAAATGACTTTCAAAGACCGTTTCTCCATCAGACATATAGATCATATGTTTATCCTCTTCTCA